GTGTTCTAGGTAGAGGGTGCAGCAAATGCAAAGGTTTGAGGCTGATGTGTGCTTTATATATTCAAAAACAGCAGGGAGGCCAGGGTACCTGGAGCAAGGGAGACAGCAAGAGGAGACATGACCAGAAAAATAACTGGATTATGCTGTTTGATGAGAGTAAATTGAGGAGGGGGCCAAGGACGGAAGCAGAAAGACCACTTAAGTGGCTCTTGAAATAACCTAGGCAAGAGATAATGGTGACTTGCCACAGCAGTGGAGGCTGTGGAAGTCTAATTTTTAATAAATTTTTGAAAGTAAACTGAACAGAATTTGCTTATATATTTGACATCAAGTGAGGAAGAGTCAACAATTCCATGGTTCTTAGCCTGAACAGCTGAAATAATGGGAAAGACTGGACAGAACAGGTCTCATTACATGAGTATGCAATTTGATGTTATTGTTATTATTATTTTTTATGAGTCTCTGTCACCCTGGGTAGAGTACTGTGGCATCATACCTCACAGCAACCTCAAACTCTTAGGCAGAAGTGATCCTCTTGCCTTAGTCTCCTGAGTAGCTGGGATTACAGGCACTGGCCACAATGTTCAGGTAATTTTTTTTTGTATTTTTAGTAGAGACAGGGTCTTACTCTTATTCAGGCTGGTCTCCCCTGAGCTCAAGCAATCCATCCACCTTGGCCTCCCAAAGTACTAGGATTACAGGTGTGAACCACTTTGCTGGCCCAATAAGGTACTAAATTATAAACAGGTCCTAAGATCAGGTAAGGCAGTTTGGAAGCTTGGCTTGGAGAGGTAAATTTAGAATCCATCAGCATAATGATTATGGAGAACCAAGAGAGTTGATGAAATCATCAGAGAAGTCATTGTAGATAAAAAGGACAAGCCTGAGGACTGGTTCTGGAGCACAGGAGACTGAGAAGGAAAGATATATGTGGTGGGGGAAACCAGAAACCCAGAGTAGAATGTCCAAAAAGCAAGTGAAGAAAATATGTCAGGGAGGAAGGTGAGATCAACTCTGTCAAATACCATTGGCAGGTTAAGTAAGATGAAAAGGAGATTTGATTATTGAATTTAGCCAAGTGGAAGGCATTGCTGATCTTGCAGGAAAAGTTTATTGGGTTCATGAGGGGTTTGACCTTGAATTTGTCAGGGGGTGGGGAAGAGACAGCTATTGAACATGAAGTATTGAAAACATTTTTAAGAAAGAAAGAACAACAACAACCAAAAAAAAAAAAAAAAACCCAAAACCACTTGTAAGTTTTACTTAAAATGGAAGTGGATTTGTCTCTAGTTTGGAAGTGTTAAAAGAAAACAAAAAGGGAAGGAAAAAGAGGATGGCTTTTAGAATGGGAATGTGAGGAGCTCTGAAGACCCCTCCCAAAACAATCATAATTATTGAATTTATTTCAAAGAGCAACAACTTTTTAAAATCTTTGGAAATTACCTAAGGGCATGCAATAAATTAAGAAACATTTATTTAAAAAAATCTACTAGCTGGGTGTAGTGGCTCACACCTGTAATCCTAGCACTCTGAGAGGCCAAGTCAGGTGGACTGCTTGAGCTCGAGAGTTGAAGACCAGCCTAAGCAAGAGGGAGATGCTGTCTGTACTAAAAATAGATAAAACTGGCTTTGTGCTGTGGGGGGCACCTGCAGTCCCAGCTATTCTGGAGTCTGAGGCAAGAAGATCTCTGGAACCCAGGAGTTTGAGGTTACTGTGAACTGTGACACCAGGATGCTCTAGCCTGGGGCAATAGAGTGAGCCTCTGTCTTAAAAGAAAAAACAACTGTTTTCTCATTTTCATAAAAATCACAAAATCATCATTTCTTCCTTTGTAAGAAAACAAAGATAAGTAACACCAAAAAAGAAAACAAACATTTGATATAACTAGTATTAAAGCCAGTTGCATATTTCAACCCTTTTTAGGATTAATATGTATGTAAGCCTATTTAAATGTATCAGTTGGCTTTATTTCTTAGAGCAGCTTTGGATTTATAAGTTAAAAACTGAGCAGAAAGTACAGAGACTCCTCCCCCCCCACAGTTTCCCCTATTATTATTAACATCTTGTTTTAGTTATTATCTTTTTTATAATTGATGTACCAATAGTGATACATTTCTGTTAACTAAAATCTGTAATTTGGGGCTGTGCCTGTGGCTCAGTGAGTAGGGCGCCAGCTCCAAATACCGAGGGTGGCGGGTTCGAACCCAGCCTGGGCCAAACTGCAACAAAAAAATAGCCAGGCGCTGTGGTGGGCGCCTGTAGTCCCTGCTACTCAGGGGTCTGAGGCAAGAGAATTGCCTAAGCCCAAGAGCTAGAGGTTGCTGTGAGCTGTGATGTCACAGCACTCTACTGAGGGCAACAAAATAAGACTCTGCCACTAACAAAAAAAAAAAAAGAAAAACTAAAATCCATAATTTATATCAAGCTTCACTCTTTGGGTTGTACAGTTCTGTGGAGTTTGTCAGATATCCACCATCACACACAGAAGTATCATATGAAAGAGTTTTTAGCGTCCTGAAAATCTCCTGTGCCCTACCCATTCATTTCTCTCACTCTCCCCATGGCAACCACTGATCTTTTATACTGTCTTTACAGTTTTACCCAGTGATTTTCAGCCATTGGGCTGCAGCACACCGAGAAGATCTTACATGAGCCACAACATTTTTTAAAAGATCATTAATTAAATTATTTTCTAAAGTGCATTAAGTATATTCTTATTTTTATTCTTTTTATTAATCAACATAATTGAAGTGTCCCTCAGAAGTTGAACTATAGGTACAAGTGCTGTGAGATAAAAAAGAGTTAAAAATACTGGTTTTGCCTTTCCTGGAATGTTACATAGTATGCATGCAGAATGTAGCCATTTCAGATTGGCTACTGTTGCTGACAAATAGACATTTAAGGCTCTTCCATGACTTTTCATGGCTTGATAGCTCATTTCTTTTTATCCTTGAATAATATCCCTTATGTGATTGTACCAGTTTGTATATGTGTTCACCTATTTTTTTTTTTTTTTGAGACAGAGTCTCACTTTGTCACCCGTGGTAGAGTACCGTGGTGTCATAGCTCACAGCAACCTCAAACTCCTGAGCTTAATTGGTCTTCTTCCCTCAGCCTCCTAAGTAGCTGGGACTACAGGCAATTGTCACAATACCTGGCTACTTTTTCTGTTTTTAGTAGAGACAGGGTCTTGCTCTTCCTTAGGCTGGTCTGGTCTTGAACTCCTGAGCTCAAAAGATCCACCTGCTTCAGCCTCCCAAAGTGCTAGGATTACAGGTGTGAGCTACTGTGTCTGGCCCAAGTTTTTCGTTTTCATGAAGTCAACTTTCTCTACTTTTTCTTTTGTATATTTGCTTTTGTTGACACATTCAAGAAGCCATCATTACCTAATTCAGATCCACAAAGATTTACTCCTGTGTGTTCTTCTAAGAGTCGTATAGTGTTAACTCTTATATTTAGGCCTTTGGTTCACTTTGAGCTAATTTTTGTGTATAGCATTAGGTAAGGGTCCAGCTTCATTCTTTTGCATGTGGATAACCTGTCTCCCAGTATCATTTATTGAAAAGATTGTTCTTTTTCCATTGAAATGTCTTAGCAGTCTTATCAAAAAATAGTCGATTATAAATGTAAAAGTTTATTTGTGAACTCTCCCTTCTATTCCATTGACTTATGTATCTGTTGTTATACATAGTACCAGTAAAATCTGTTTTGGTTACTGTAACTTTGTAGTAGATTTTGATGTTAGGAATAGTGAATCTTCCAAGTTTGTTCTTTTTCAAGATTGTCTCAGCTATTCTGGATTCCATGCATTCTCACAGGAATTTTAGGATCATCTTGTCAATTTCTTCAAGAAGTTAATGAAATTTTAATGTAGATTTTATTAAATATGTTGATCACTTTAGAGAGTACTGCTATCTGAACAATATTAGGTCTTACAATCCATAAACATGGAGGGTTTCTTTCCATTTATTTTTGTCTTCTTTAATTTCTTTTAACAATGTTTCTAAGTTTCAGTGTATAAAATTTATACTTTCCTTTTTTTATGATATTATAAGTGAAAATTTTTTCTTAATTTTGTTTCCAGATTGTTTATCACAAGTATGCAACTGATTTTAGTATATCAATCTTATGTCCTATAAGCTTGCTGAAAAATTAAGTTTTAAATTAAAGAGATAAAATTTGAATTTTTTATTTCTAAATATAATTTGACCCACATAATGCCCCAATAGGTATGCCAGGTTATGTCTTAAGGCTTTCCTAGAAAATATGGGTAGAGGCTCAGCACCTGTGACTCAAGTGGCTAAGGCGCCAGCCACGTACACCCAAGGTGGCGGGTTCGAATCCAGCCTGGGCCCACCAAACAACAATGATGGCTGCAACCAAAAAATACCCGGGCGTTGTGGCGGACGCCTATGGTCCCAGCTACTTGGGAGGCTGAGGCAGGAGACTCGCTTGAGCCCAGGAGTTGGAGGTTGCTGTGAGCTGTAATGCCATAGCACTCTACCCAGGGGGACAGCTTGAGGCTCCTGTCTCACAAAAAAAGAAAGAAAATATGGGTAAAAATTAACCCTAGTTTCCTGCATGCCATGCCAGTTAATTAATATTTTCTCTGGACTCACACCCATGAAGAGAGTTGTTTAAATTGAAAATGTTTATATAGAGAGTTGAGATATGAAGGAATCTGGCTGTATATTCTCGATTCAATCCCAAGCACACTCATGACAGAGTGATTTCAAGTGACCATTTAAAGGAACTTTGCATTCTGAACATTTTTATTTGTTGTTTGTTCATCCATGCTTTGACCTAAATCCTTTTCTGTTTTTTTATTTGTTTGTTTGTTCTGAAATTCTTTCTTTCATTCTTTTTTCTTCTTTTATATGTGTTCTTTGGTTCTGTGTCTAATTGAGCTCAAGTTTGTAGAAGAAAAGAATCAATAGATAAGAATATCAAGATGGTTCACTGGTATCTTTTGGTAATTTTGTGACTGGACTTTTAACAGGTTTATGATAAATATCAATCAGGATTAAGCACTGAATTCCAAGTTCCACTGTTATTTCACTCTGGAGTAGATCGAGAAGAGGAAAAGAAAGAGGTATGTAATAATATTGCTTTTAGATATTAATATTTCTACTATGATAGTATGTGTGAAATTGGAAATATTTGTAATTATTAAGGAGCTAGTACCAGAAATTCTATAGATTAAGGAAAAAAAATTGCTTGAGTCATTATAATATGTTGACTTTCTCTTTCACACTCTTAGGACTTAGGATGTACTGATGTGAAATCAGAGATCTAATCCTAGTGAATTTCTCCAGCTAGCATATATTTGCTACTATAATTTACTTAAAGGAAGTTATTAATTTATGGCTTTCTTTTTTCTCTTTCAATCTAAAGTTAGCCATGCACCAGAATCAGATGTGGAAGTTTTTCTCAAAATATAAATACCTGGATCCAAACCAGATCTTTTCAGAGACCAGAACCTTTTCAGGTTCCAGAACTGGTATCTGAAAAGATAGATTTAGGGCCTTTGTATTTTAAAAAATACCACTGTGATTTGCTACTTTTGTCAGTAGTAAGAACTGCTGTTTAGGCTTTCAGTAATTTTTACAAAAAAGCCCTGGTATATACATACATTTTGCTCTTTGAGTACCTTGTGGACTTAAAAGAGAATATATAAGATCAGAGATCTGAACACATCACACACAGTGTAATAGCACCTGCTTTTATCAGACTTGTTCTGTTTATGTGTGTGATGTACCTCAGCCCTTCAATCCTCTGTACCATGTTAGGCTAAGCTTCAAGTATGCTTTTATGGTACAGTTTTAATTTTGAAAAGTTAAAGTGACTGTTGTTCTGTTATAAAATACCTCTCAAGTTCTTTCTGTTGCCCTGCTTTTGTGGTACTTACTACTTGGGAATACAGAGTAAATGTAATATATATCATCCCAGATAGAATCATTTCCTCAAGTACTATTGACAGGGAACTGTACTAAGGACAACTAAATTAGTACTTCTCTCATTTGTCTGTTAACATATAATAGCTAGTTGTTTGAAAATATTAAATTCTTGTTGTATATGATATCCTGAGTTACTACAGACAGAAGAAAATTTAAAACTTAACACGTGTGGTCAGGCCTGGTACCTGTAATCCTAGCATTCTGGGAGGCCAAGGCAAGTGGATTGCTTGAGCTCAAGAGTTCAAGACTAGCCTGAACAAGAGTAAAACCCCATCTCTCCTAAAGTAAATAAATAATAGAAAAACTAGCCAGGTGTGGTGGCACAGGCCTATAGTCCCAGCTACTCAGAAGGCTGAAGCAAGAAAATTGCCTAAGCTTGGGTGTTTGAGGTTTCTCTGAGCTATGATGCCACGACACTTTAGTCAGGAGCAACAGAATAAGGCACTGTCTCAAAAAAAAAAACACCACAAAAAACTTAACCCTTATAATTTCTGTAGCATATGGTTTTCTTTCTGCTCCTCTGAGAAAAGAATCTGAATAATTTTAACTTCTTTCCTTTAGCGTCAAAAGCAATACCTAAGACATAGACGGCTTTGTATGGACATTGAGAGAGAAACAGTTAAAGAACAACAAAGGCAGAAAGAACGAAGGAAGAAAGTTGAAAAGTAAGTGCTTTGTTCCTCATTGTGAGCCTTAAATCATTTATGATGTTTTCGGAAGCTAAATTTTAGAAAAAGGTGATAGTTTTGCCATCTCATCCATACTGGAAACAATAATTTTTAATCTGGATAGAGTATTGGAAGATGGTGAACAGCTATGTCTTTTTTATTTGATTCGTTTTTTAATAGATTTTATTTTTTAGAGCAATTTTAGGTTCATAGCAAAACTGAGCACAGAGTTCCCATGTACCCTGTTCCCTGCACATGCATAGCCTTGGCCACTGTCACTGTCCTGTACTGCTGTCCTTGCATGTGATGACCCAACAATTGACACATTATTATTATCCAAAGTCCATACTTTACAGTAGGGTTCACTTTTGGTGTTATGCATTTTGAGAAATATTTAATGTAATGTGTCTAACATTATAGCACCATACAGAGTCATCACTGCCCTAAAAATCCTCTGTGCTCTGCCTATTCCTCCTCCCCTACCCCCCAACCCCCGACAACCATTGAACTCTACTGTCTCCTGCTTTTACCTTTTATAGAATGTCACATAGTTGGAATCATACAGTATTTATGTAACCTTTTCAGATTGGCTTCCTAGACTTAGAAATAAGCATTTAAGGCTCTTTGAGCTTTTTTTACTGCTTCGTAGCTTATTTCTTTTTAGCACTGAGTAATATCCCATTGTTTTGATGTATCATAATTTAGTTATTCATTCACCTGCTGAAGAACATCTTAGTTGCTCCAAGAATATCTTAGTTGCTTATTTGGCAATTATGAATAAAGTTACTACAAATATCTGTGCACAGGTTTTTGTGTGGGCATAAGTTTTCAGCTCATTTGGATAAATAACAAGGAGTGCAGTTGCTGGTTTACATGGTAAGAGTATGTTTAACTTTATAAGACACTGCCAAATTGTCTTCCCATATGGCTGTGCCATTTTGCATTATACCATCAGTGAATATGAGTTCTTGTTGCTCCACATCCTTGTCAGCATTTGACGTTGTCAGTATTTTGAATTTTGGCCGTTCTTTTTTTTTTTTTTTTTGGCCGGGGCTGGGTTTGAACCTGCCACCTTCGGCATATGGGACCAGCACCCTACCCTTTTGAGCCACAGGCCACGCCCCGAATTTTGGCCGTTCTAATCAGCGTGTAGAAGTATCTCATTTTTTAAATTTTAAATTTCCTATGACATGATATGGAGCACTTTTACCTATGCTTATTTGTCATCTGTATATCTTTGATGATGTGTCTGTTCAGGTCTTTTGTCCATTTTTAATTTCTTTTTTCTTTTTTTTTTTGAGATAGAGTCTAACTTTGTCACCCGTGGTAGAGTGTCATGGCATCGTAGCTCACAGCAACCTCAAACTCCTGGGTTCAAGTGATTCTTCTGCCTTAGCCTTTCAAGTAGTTGGGACTACAGGAGCCCACCACAACGCCTGGCTATTTTTAGAGATGGGGTCTTGGTCTTGCTTAGGCTGGTCTCAAATTCCTAAGCTCAGGCCGTCCACCTGCCTCAGCCTCCCAGAGTGCTAGGATTACAGGTGCAAGCCACCACATCTGGCCTTTGCCCACTTTTTAATCTGGTTATTTTCTTATTGTTAAACTTTAAGAATTCTTTATATATTTTGAATAATATTTCTTTATCAGATATGCCTTTTAAAAACTTTTTTCCCAGTCTGTGGTATTTCTTTTCATCTCTTAACAGTGTCTTTTAAAGAGTGGAAGTTTTTAATTTTAATGAAGTCAAACTTACAAGTTCTTTCTTTGAATCATAAAATCTTTTTTAAACAATATTAAATATTCAGGTCAAGAAAAAAGACCAGATGTCCAAAGCCAAGGGAAAGAAAACACAACAGAGGGTGGCACCTGTGGCTCAAAGGAGTAGGGTGCCAGCCCCATATGCCAGAGGTGACAGGTTCAAACCCAGCCCTGGCCAAAAACTGCAAAAAAAAAAAAAAAAGAAAGAAAGAAAAGAAAACACAATGGAAGTAGACTCATAGGTGACACAAGTATTGGTATTAACAAACAAGAACTTTAAAATTATTAATATGTTCAAGTAACTAGAGAAATACATAGAGAAAACATAAAAATATGGAGAATTTCATCATAGAATTGGAAGCTATAAATAAAATCAAATAGAAAATCTATAATTAAAAAATATAATCTTAAAATAAGAAATCACTGTGTACATAATGAGGTACTACTTCAGACTCATTAGAATAGCTTAAGGGGAAAAAGACAATAAACTTAACAATAGCCAGATAATGGCAAGGATGAAGAGCAACTGTAAGTCATATAATGATAGCGTACATGAAAAAGAGCACGGGCGCCAACTGTGGTTCAGTGGGTTGGGTGCTGGCCCCATATACTGAGGGTGGCAGGTTCAAACCCAGCCCAGCCAAACTGCAACAAAAAAAAATAGCCCGGCATTGTGGCGGGTACCTGTAGTCCCAGCTACTTGGGAAGCTGAGACAAGAGAATTGCTGAAGCCCAAGAGTTGGAGATTGCTGTGAGCTGTGTGATGCCATGGTACTCAACAAAGGGTGATAAAGTGAGACTCTGTCTCTACCAAAAAAAAAAAAGAAAAAAAACACAACCACTTTGGAAAACTTTGTTCTGTATAGTTAAGCATAGACCTAGCCTATGACCCAGCCATCTTACTTTCAGATATTTACTTTAAAAAATGTAAACATTCATAAAAATCAATGAACAGTGACAGAATGTATTCTTTTCAAGTGCCCATGGAACATTTCCCAAAATTGACCATATTTGGGTTTATTTTTCAGGGTATGTTCTCCGAATATCATGATATGAAGCTAAAAATCAATAAGCAGTACATTTCTAAAGGATCCTAGGTCAAAGATAAAATTACAGTGGATAAAATTTTAGGATATCAGGAAATACTGTTAAGAGAATAATAATGAGGATAAAACATTAACATGTCTCAGATGGGGCAGTGCCTGTGGCTCATTGAGTAGGGCAAAGGCCCCATATACCAAGGGTGGTGGGTTCAAACCTGGCCCTGGCCAAACTGCAACAAAAAAATAGCCTGGCCTTGTGGAGGGCACCTGTAGTCCCAGCTACTTGGGAGGCTGAGGCAAGAGAATCACCTAAGCCCAGGAGTTGGAGGTTGCTGTGAGTTGTAATGTCATGGCACTATACCAAGGGCAACAAACTGAGACTCTATCTCTAAAACAAACAAACAAACAAAAAAAAACATTCCTCAGATGTAGCTTAAACAGTACTTACAGGGAATATCAGAACCATGATTACAATTGTTAAGGGAAAAGAAGGCTAAAAAAATCAATGTTTTAACTTTTCATCTTAAGCTTGAGAAAAAACTAAAAATCAAATTAGAAAAAAAGTCACAGAGATAAAATAAATACAGAAATCAGTGAAATAGAAGACAATGTACAACAGAGGAAATCAAAGCCAAAAGTTGCTTCTGTGAAAATCTAATCAGTAAAAAAGAAAGGAGAGAAAATATAATTTGTCAATATTAGGAATAGAAAGGAGCCATTACTACAGAACCTATAGACATTAAATGCTAATAAGAGGGTATTATGAACAACTTTACATTCAAAAATTTGACAGTGGCAGTGCCTGTAGCTCAGTGGATAGGGCGCTGGCCACATACACCAACGCTGGTGGGTTCGAGCCTGGCCTGGGCCTGTTAAACAGCAGTGACAACTGTAACAACAACAACAACAAAAAACAGCCCAGCATTGTGGTGGGTGCCTGTAGTCCCAGCTACTTGGGAGGCTGAGGCAAGAGAATCACTTAAGCCCGTGAGTTTGCCGTTGCTGTGAGCTGTGATGCCACAGTACTCTACTAAGGGCGATGTAGTAAGACTCTGTCTCAAAAAAAAAAAATTGACAATTTAATGAAATAGACAAATTACTACAGGGAAAAACAACTAAAATGGACACAAGAAGAAATAGAACACCTAAGTAATCACATATCACAGAAAGGAATCAAATTAGTTATTAAAAATCTTTCCATAAAGGAAAATGCGGGTTCAAATCTAGGCTCATATATTTTCACTGGGGAGTCTTTTCAAATATATAAAGGAAAAAGTAATATCAGGTTTAACATAAACTCTTTCAGCAATGGAAAATGGGGAATATTTCCCAAATAATTACCGAGGCCAACATAACCTTAATACCAACCTGACCAAGGACGTTATAAGAAAGCAGCATTGCAGACTAATTTCTCTCATGAACATGAATGAAAAAATTCTGGCCCAGCATGGTGGCTCATGCCTGTAGTCCTACAACCCTGGGAGGCCAAGGTGGTTGGATTGCTTTAGCTCAGGAGTTGCAGACTAGCCTGAGCAAGAGCAAGATCCCATCTCTACCTAAAATAGAAAAACTAGCAGGGGGCATTGTGGCAGGTGCCTGTAGGCCCAGCTACTCTGCAGACTGAGGCAAGACTTTGAGATTGCTGTGAGCTATAATGCCATGGCACTTTACCCAGGGCAGCAGAGACTCTGAAAAGTAAGACAAAACAAAGAAAAAATTCCAAATAAATTATTAGCACAATGGTTTTTGAGGGGTACTGCTGGAAGCCTCTGTTCTTGAAGCTTCTGTCTGAGCTTCTGTCTCTAACCCTAAGGCAGCTTCTTACTCATCTCTGACCTCCTAATCTGTGGACTAAATAGAAACAAAGTATTTTACAACAACAATCATCCAGTGAGAAAACTGACTAAACATTCCAAGATGTTAAAGAATTATCTTTGCATGGTAAAATAAATTATCTTTTTTCTATCCTTTCTATATGTCTTAATTTCAAGTTTTTATCATTTGTTTGAGGCCTTAAGTGTATATGCATGGTAAGGCACCCTTGCTGCTGAATATCCTGTTTATTTACAACAAAAGTGTGCAAGGAATCTTGAAATTTTTATATGGCAACCCACTGGTGAGAATAGTTTTACTATGAGGTGTTAAATAGTTCCTCTGTGTATGTTTTTATTCTCACATACTTTTTCTCCTTCTTGA